CTGGACTGCTGATGCTAGCCTGCTTTAGTCTCCTGTGGAAATACTGCCACTAAAAGGCTTTCTTTATGATGCTCACTAGGCATAATTTTCGTACTGAAAAATATGTGCCCGAGAAGCTTAAAACTATAGTTTTCACAGGAGCTTCAGTGAGGAGGGGTGAAGGAGTGTAGTCAGTACACAACATTGCCCCCCATTTTCCCCACATTGATGCGGAGATTGTTTGTTCTGCACTGAATCATGAATTGTTTCACCTCCTGCCGGTACAGTGACTCATCGTTTTGGGCCATCAATCTCACCACAGCCATATTGTCAGGAAACTCATCAATATGACTGCCTGGATATTCATCCTGAGCAGCCATTTGTTGGTATTGTAGCAGAGTGCTCAGAACACATTCCTGGGGGGAGCCGATGTTGAAGAATAGACATTTTAAAACCATGTGGCCAATTAATCAAGACATTTAAGATCCTGTTATATAATTTTAATTCAAGGAGAAACATTTTAATTAAAACAGATCTAAAATTGTAAACGAGCAGCCTGAATTAAGAGACCCTGATTTTTAGAAAAGTGAAGGCAGAAAGGGATCAAACCATAGTCAGTCATGCCTGTTACAGATAATCTTTTAGTCCTAGAGATAATTGCAGACATCTTGTAGATTTTTGTTTGACCAACTAGCACTAAAGCCTGGAAAAGAGAAGTGAAAGATGTCAGGAAAAGCTTTTGTTATTAAGGGTATTCTTTTAGGATCTGTCTTGACTTATCATCTGACTGCTGTTTGTGGGTGGCCGTGTTTATCAGTAACTTCTTTGTATCCTCAGTGGGAATACTAAGATCCAGCTCACCTCAAAGTCCAGACCTAAACCCAATAGAGATTTTGGTGAAAGATCTGAAAACTGCTGTTCACAAATGCTCTCCATCCAATCATAGGGCCCTACATATCCCAGTCCTATTTTTATTTATTTATTATACACTTGGGAAATTGTTCCACATACCCCCTGTAATATGTTCGCGTACCCCAAGGGGTACATGTACCCCTGGTTGGGAATCACTGCCCTAAAAGACTTGCAGTTGTAATTGCAGCAAAAGGTGGCTCCACAAAGTATTGACTCAGGGGGGCTGAATACTTTTGCACATCGCACTTTTCAGTTTTTTATTTGTAAAAAATGTTTTGATTCATGTAAAATTTTGCTTCCACTTCACAATTGTATACCACTTTGTGTTGGTCTTTCACATTAAATTCCAGTGAAATATATTTAGGGGTCCAAGCCCGAGGAAGCAGGGTAACGCAGCTGCAAAGCAGCAGCGTTTCCATGTCTCCATCGGA